ATCGGCAGTGACACCCACGTCTTCTGAATGGTGCTCTTCCTGAGCACGTCAAGGTCACACTGCGGCACATCCCAGGCAGAGGTTTCAGCGCCAGCAGGCAGGGATGGGGATGGCGCAATGAACCCACCCATTCTTCTTTGTCAGGGCTTTGTGCTTCTGAGGCAGGCGCCCTACCGCTTGAGCCATGCCTCCAGCCCTTTTGCTCTGGATGTTTTGGAGTTGGGGTCTCACTTTTTGCCCAGGACAGCCTGGACGTGATATGCCTATGCTATGCTTCCAACTGCAGCTGCGATGATAGGCATGCATCGTTATGCCCAGCTTTTTCCTGGCTGAGATGGGGTCTCATGAACTTTTTTGCCCGGGCTGGCCTGGAACCATGATCCTCCCAAACTTAGCCTCCTGGGTAGCTGGGATGACAGGTGCATGGCACTGCTATTGGTTGAGATGGGGTCTCGATAACTTTATGCCTGGGCTGGCCTCCAGCCTCAATCCTCCTGATCTCAGCTTCCCAAGTAGGTAGGATTATAGGCATGAGCCACTGGCACTTGGCTTATCCATTATTATTTGGGTTTTTTTTGTGGTGCTGGGGGCCTACACCTTGAGCCACTCCACCAACCTTTTTTTTGTGATGGGTTTTTGCCAGATAGGGTCTCTCGAAGTATTTGCCTGGGTTGGCTTCGAACCATGATCCTCCTGATCTCTGCCTCCTGAGTAGCTAGGATTATAGACGTGAGCTTACCCATTCATTTTTATGGCCTTTTGAGTTTAAAGCCATGATAAAGAGAGCTGCTATAAACGTTCAGATACAAATCTTTGTGTGGTCATATGTTTTTATTTTTCGTCAGAGAATGCCTATGAGTGGAATGGCTGGATCAGGTGGTAGGCATCTGTTGAACTTTGTAAGAACTGTCAACTGTTTTCCAAGGTGGTTGCACTATTTTGCTTTCTTGCAGTGTGTATGAGAGTTCCCCTCGTCCTGCGTGCTGCTGACACAGCCTAAGGTTATTTGTTGCAGTCCTGTTGTTTCAGAGTCTCTCCTTGTAGCCTGCTGGCCTGCAACTTATGATCCTCCCTCCCGCCAGGCACCAGTGGTTCACGCCTGTAATCCTAGGTACTCAGGAGGCAGAGATCAGGAGACTTGAGGTTCAAAGCCAGCCTGAGGCAAATAATTTGTAAGACCCTATCTCAAAAAATACCCAGCACAAAAAAGGGTAGAGCACCTACCTAGCAAGTGTGAGGCCCAGAGTTCAAACCCCAGTACCACCAAAAAAAAAAAAAAAAAAAGAATCTTCCCTCTTGAGTGCTGAGATTATAGGTGTGTAGCACCACACCCTGCTGTTATTGCTGTTTGTAAATTTTAGCTATGGCCCTGTATGGTGACACATTTGTAGTCCCAGCTACTTGGGAAGCTGAGTCAGAAGGATCGCTTGAGCCCAGTTCAAGGCCAGCCTGGGCAACATAGTGAGACCCTGTGAAAGAAGGACAGAAAGGAGGGAGGGAGAAGAGAAGGAGGGAGGAAGGAAGGATGGAAAAAAGGAAACTCTAGCTATTCTTTGCTAGGCAAGCACTTTAGCACCGAGCCACATCCAGCCTAAATTCTCGCTGTTCTAATGGTGCGTGATAGCTCATTGTGGGTGGCCTCTTTCCCTAATGGCTGATAGCACCAGGCATTGGGGCAACATTTTAGATTCTAACTGCCCCATTCAAATATCTCTGTTGGTGAAGGGGTCACACATATCCCACCCACACTCTAATTGGGGTAATTGAGTTATGATACCAAGACTTCTTTGTACTTTATTGATACAACCCCTTTGTCTGATATGTGCTTGAATATTTTCTCCCTGTCAGTGGCTCGTCTTTGTATTTTCTTGTGATGTCTTTTAAGGGGCAAGTGGTTTTGATTGGTGAGGTTCAGCTTGTCGATCACTTTCCCTATCAGTCATGCTCTTGTATGATAGAGAAGAAATCTTTGCTTATTCTAAGGTCACGAGGCTAATTCTGTGTTTTTTTCTAGAAGGGTTGTAATTTTACGGTTTGCATTTATGATCTTTTGAGTTTATGATCTATTTTGAGTTAAACACTGTGTATGTTGTGAGGTTAGAGTCAGTTAAATTTTTCGTGGAGGTAACCAGTTGACCCATGCTAATCACTGAAGACTCTCCTTTCTCCATCAATTTGCTTTAGAATCTTCCCAAACATTGGTTGATCAAATGTATGTTTTTCTGTACCCCGATATCATATTCCATTGGTCCCTGTGTCTATCATTTCACCAATAATGAATTGTCTCTATTACTGTGTTCCTAAAATCAGGACTCCGACTTGTTTTGTTTTTTTCTAGGCACTTTGCATTTTCATAAACTTCAAACTGGGGTTTGAACTCAGGGCTTTGCACTTGCACAGCAGGCGCTCTACTGCTTGAGTCACACCTCCAGTCCATTTTGCTTTCATTATTTTGGAGATGGGGTCTTGAGAAATATTTGCCCTGGCTGGCCTAGAACCATGATCCACCCGATTTCAGTCTCCCAAGTAGCTAGGATTACAGGCATCCTGTGCCCGGCTTGGCATGGGCATTTTATTGAAGGGTAAGGGGCATGGAGTGTCCAGTTGTCCCCAGAACCAGTCCACGGGCAGTGATTGCCATGGTGGGTGTAAAAGAATTACAGGTCTGCGGGGGAATCACTCTGGGCCTGCGATTATCTAGGACCACCTACAAAAAACCCAAAGGGGGAGAAAAATCTGCAGTTACAGCAAGATTCAAGTGACATGCCGATGACCCAAAGGTCACTCTTGGTCAGTCTAGCTGGCTTGAGCTGAAGCACGGCAGTGGGCTTTGGCAGCCTTTACTTTTTTTTTTTTGCAGTAGTGGGATTTGATCTCAAGGTTTCACACCAGGCAGGTGCTTGAGCCACACCTCCAGCCCTACGTCTTATGTCCATAAGTACATTCGATGACAGGTGTAACTTTGGTGACTGTGGTCATTTTAGCCCTCAAGGTCAGCATGTTGAAGGGCACGTGCCAAACACTGCCAAACATCTTGCATTTCCTTGGCCAGTTGCTAACGTGTAACTTACCTGACACTTGCTCAGCGCGCAAGGTCACGGTGCAATTGTCAGCACCACCACCAGCACCACAAAAGCACATAAGAAAATAAAATGACATTCTGCATTTTCCCTGCTATCTTGACTACCAGTGATAGTGTCTGTTGTTCTTCTTTTTTTCCCCCCGACGCTCTGGTATTCCCTTTGGTATTATTTCCCCTCACCCTTCTCGTGTTTATTATAATTTTCTTTCACGAGCGAATGCCTTTATTTACTTGTAGCAGATTTCTGAAGATGATCCCAGTGTCCTCACCCCCTGGTTGTTTAATCAAATGCTAATCCAGATAACTGCTGCAAGGGGACTTTGCAGATGTTATGAGCCTCAAGTCAGTTGACCTCAAAACACAAAGATTTTCTGGGTGGTCCTGACCCACTCAAGAGAGGTAGCTCCAGTACAACAATAAGAAGAAAATAAAAGCAGAGAGAGGATGCCTGTAATCCTAGCTACTTGGGAGGCTAAGATTGGGAGGATCAAGGTTCAAAGTCAGGTAAGACAAAGAGTTCAGCAGGCCCCATCTGCAAAATAACCAGAGAGAAATGGACTGGAGGTGTGGCTTAAATGGACTGGAGGTGTGGCTTAAGTGGTAGAGTGCCTGCTGTGCAAGTGTGAAGCCCTGAGTTCAAAACTCGGTCCCACAGACAAATGACGTCATCATAAAACGTCTCAAAATTAAAGATAATAAAGTCTTGAAAACAGACAGAGGAAAATGACATGTCACATGTTCTGCTTGATGCAGAAAGGCAGCGAGAACACCCCCACACAGGCAGCAGAACCCCAAGGTCAGAAACCAGGGCATCAAGCATGGCAAAGCCCAGAAGGAAAGAAAGGAACCAAAAACACAGAAACCAAAGTGAAAGAAAATATCCTGGGCCAGGCCATGGCTCGAGTGGGAAGGCACAGCCCAGCACCCACGGGGCTCTGGGTTCAATCCCCAGTACTGAAAAAAACACCCTATATATCCTTCAGAATAAAGATATTATGGATTTTAGTTGGAAATTACCATTTGCCTGTCTTCAAGCCTTTCTAGTTTCTGTGGAGAGCTTATTATCTTTGCCTTGTGGACCGTGGTGATAATGGATGTTTTTCTGCTAATTCCAATGTCTGGGTCGTCTTGGGGCTGGCATCTGTCTTTTCTTTTGAGAACTCGAGTTCTTTGTGTGGTTAAATGACCTTGGATGGTGCCCTGGATGCTGTTCCACCTTCTATGAGCCAAATTTCCAATCTTAGTTCAATTTTCAGTCTTTGCTGTGCTGGTCTGGGTTTGTTCCCTGCACTGGCAGCTCAGAGGTGAGTCTAAGACTTGTGGGGATCCATCCTACAAGGGGACTCGGGTTCTCTGTGGTGTGTAGCTCCCAGTAATAAATCAGAGAAAGTCCTCAGGAGAGAATGGCCCCATTCAGCTCCTCCGTCTCCAGGATTTCTGCGTTCTTCCCACCTTCAGGGCCCTTCCTGGTTCCTATGGCTCCTGCTGGAGTTTCAGCTCCACCCTGCTCTGCCATTTCCTCCTGCATCTCAGGGTCTGGGAAACCAGAGGAAGAAGGGAGGAAGAGAAGGGGAAAACCTCAGGTTGCTTCTCTGAGTCTTGACTCCACAGTCCCCGGCTTTTGCTCACGTTCAGTGACTTCAGGTGGTGGTTTTTGTACTTTGTGTAGCGTTTAGATGACATCAGCTGGAGAGCGGGGCCTTTGAAAATTATGGCAAAAGACACAACCTAAACTTGACCACCCTAACCACGGCCAAGTGTGCATGCACATCAGTGGCACTGAGTGACCTTCCCCACGGCCCACCCCGCAGCGTGGCCTTCAGCTCAAACCTGCGAGCCTGAGGGATGGATAGAAAAACGCCTTCTGGCAGGTTGTGCATCGGTGTCCCTTGGCCAGAGCAGTGACAGGCAGAGGAGCATGGCAGTGCCGGACGGTGCCCTGGCAGGCGCTGAGACCCGGCTGCGAGAGGGCCTTGGGGCGCACCGCGCTTAGGGCCAAGGCCCCGCGGCACCGAACTGGGCCCGGTGCACCACGCAGGGCAGGGATCGCCTGGTCCTTGCAGGGCCGGAGGGGACAGGAGGCCCCGGTGACCCAGCCGCCTCTCGGCGGGGATCACAGCACTGCCATCTCTCCCCAGGTGCGGACACGAAAGGGGGCGACAGCCCTGCCGCCCCGGAGGACCCGCGGAGCCCCGGGCCCCCGGAGGACGCCCGCACCCCCGCGCGCCCCGCGCTCCCCGCGCTCCCGCGCCGCCCGCAGCTCCTGGACGAGGACGCAGCGCCGGGCGAGGACGGGGCGGCGGCGGCCGAGGGCAGTGAGCTGGGCCCGGGGGACCCCGAGGCCGTGACCCCCGCCCAGACGCCGGCAGACAGCGAGGCCAGGCCGGGGCCCAAGGTGGCCGGCGGGGTCCCCGCCATCGGCTTCGTGGGCGAGCCCCCGCCCTACGCGCCGCCCGACCCCAAGGCCGTGGCCCTGCTCTACCCGCCCTTCCCGCAGGTGCCCGTGCTCTTCCAGCCCGCGCCCGCGCCCGCCGCGCTCTACCCGCCGCCGCCGGCCGGAGCCGCCTTCCCCTTCCCCGCGGTGAGCCCGCGCCCCCGGCCGGGCGGGTGACCAGAGCGGGCTTCTGCCACCCGAGAGGAAAGAGTACCTTGGTCTGGGGGTTGGCGAGCCTGGGAAGCTTCCCAGAGGTGGGGACAAGGGAGCTGGGTTCTGAAGGATGAATAGGAGCTTTAACAGCAGGAAGGGCAGAGCGCACAGCGTGGGGTGCAGGGAGGCCGAGCCAGGTGATCGGGAGGGATGGGGCTGCTTCAACGCGGTGGGGAGTGGAGGCAGGAAGTGAGAGTCTCCAGAGATGGGTTGCAGCTGATGGCCCGGTTAGATTTTCTTATAAAACAAAACCAAAGCTTTGGGCTGCCAGTGGAGACAGATTGGAAGTCCCCCCAGGAGGGCAGATCTCTGGGTGATGGGGACATCATGACAGTGGACTGAGCAGAACTGAGAGGACTCCTGGGCACTGGGGAGCTGTGGGGGACAGAGTGACTGACTTTCCCTGGCCTTCACTGGCTGTCCCCACCCTAGTGTGGCCCCTCACTACCCTGGCTTGTTCCCACAGTATGGCAGCCCTGTGGGTGGCCTGCCGGCCCCTGGCACCGTGGAGCACAGGCCTCTGCCGAAGGACTACATGATGGAGTCGGTGCTGGTGACCCTGTTCTGCTGCCTGCTCACCGGGGTCATGGCCATTGTGTACTCCCATGAGGTAGGTGGGTGGGGGTGGAGGACTCAACCCCTCCCCCAGCTGGAGTTGACAGTTCCCCTCCTCCCAGCGACAGGGTGGAATTGGGAAATCTGGGCCCTGTTGTTTGGGGAGCCCTTGGGCCCACCCACCACTCAAGATCTGGTCTGGAAAGGTCTGCTAAAACAATTCACGGTCAAGGTGTGAATGACTGATCAGGCCCAAGGGGCTGCCCGTTCCACAGGGGCGCTGTGTTTTAGTGTGTGTACAGGGTAGAGTCTGTCCATCCATCCATCCCATCTATCCTGCATCTAGCTACCCATCCCTACATTCATCCATCCACCCACTGACCTCCTAGCATCCATGCATTCATTTACCTGTCAATCATCCACTCACCCGTCCATCCATCTTCTGCTAACACATACACCCACCCCCACCTACCATGTCTCTAGCTTCCATCCGCCCACCATCTCAGCCTCCCTCCCTCCCTTCTTCCACCGTCCATTCACCTATGCCCATCTCCTCACCTATGCCCCCAATCTCTCCAGCATCCTCCCTCTCTCTTCCCTCCTGACGTTATTGAGCAAATGCTCAGCCTAGGGTTAGACCCAGTAGGCAGGACCTCTGTGCTTGTGCTGCAGACTGACCTGGTCACAGCCCTGGCCTCACTGCACTGGTCAGGCCCCCTTGTCATCAGCAGGCAGCTCTGGGGACAGCTTAGAGGTGGGACTCTGGAGGCTGCTGCCTGCCTGTGAATTCTGACTCCACCACTAGCTGTGTAGCCCTGGGCAGGTCACTTAACTCCTCTGAGCCTTTGTTTCCTCATTTGCAAAGTGGGGGCACAATGATCTCAACCTCAGGACTGCAGGGGACCAGACAGAGCACACTGGTCAATGCCGGTGTGATCACCATCCCTCTTGTGAACCCTATAAGTCGTGGGCTTGGGGGTGCCCAACCTTCTCTGGGTGTCAGTTTTCCAGGTCTGTGGAAGGGCCTGGACCTGACAGTGTTGTGCTGGGAGGGGGTGGGCTCCATCACCGCTCACCCTGCCTTGGTCCATCTCATTGCAGACCCGTGCAGCCCTGGGCAGGGGCGACCTGGCCCAGGCCGAGGAGGCCTCGCGGAAGGCCCGCTCGCTTGTGCTTTTCAGCCTGCTCTTCGGGGTCTTCGTGTCCACCAGCTGGGTCATCTATGTGGTGGTGGCCCTCTACCTCCCTTGAAGATGTCAGGAGGCCCCAGGGTAACTGGCTGGGCAGCCCTTTCTATGGATTCTGATTCCTGCCCCGTGGCCAGCTGTGGCCACCTAGGGCAAAGGAGAAGCTGGGCTTTGTGGCCCTCAGCAGGCTTCGGAGCCATCTGGAAAAACACTGTGTCATGCAGCCCAGCTGGGAGATGGGGTTGAGGTAGGGAGGGGAGCAATGCCTTTCTTCCTTGCTGGTTGTCCCCACAGCACCCCTACCCATGCCAGGAGGCAGGGTCTCTCATGCTGACTCTAGGACTCAATCAACAAAAAGAGGGTGCCTTCTGCCTCCCCTGCAGCTTTGCATTGCTACTTCTGGGACATTGCTCACTTCCAGGTGAGCAGCATCTGTCCACAGCTGGGCTCCCCCACCGGCTCCCATTGGCACCTAGGCAGCTGACACTTTGTCACTCCATTGGTACAGGACGCTCTTTCTCTCTGGACCCACTTCTCCTTGGATGGCTTTACCTCAAACTTCCTCTGCTATCCTCACAGCTTCCTGCTCCTGCTGACATCCTCTCTCTCAGTCTTTTAGCTTCTGCTGACCCCGCCTGGGTTTTCTGTCCACTCCTTCTGTCTCTACTGTTATTACCAAAAGATGGAGGATCAGTGGGTCCCCGTTTGGGGAAGGCCCAAACCAGGCCACCCCAGACCATGTGAAGACAGCCTGTAGAGACCCCCACAGGTACCTAGAGCTGGGTGCCTGGTGCTCTGGTCCAGTTAGACATTGTCTTAAGAAGGAGCCTCCATTTTCATAAGATCAAGTCCCTTCCTCAAGAGAGGAGGAAGGGGCCCTGGCTGAATGATTGATGGGCAGCTCAGATTAACCCGGGTGCTGTCAGGGCAGCTGCTGCGTGCTGCTCACAACCCTGGCACCAGGAGCTGAAGCAGGAGGGAGCGACAGGACTGAGGAAGTGAGCAAGGGGGAACACAGCGCTGATCTGGAATTAGGAATTTGAACACTGAAGTGCATCACAGTCACAAAAAAGGAGGGAGCCATTTTTTAGGAATCAATAAATGCCAAAAGGTACCAGGTAGAGTCCAAGAGCCATATACGCTTGCTAAGTCTTAAGTAAGTCAGGAGGTCCTGATGCTTAGGAACCCCTGGGATTTCATTGATCTGCTGATGCTGCAGATCCAGTTGGGAGCCTGGAGTTCTGTATTTCTAATGAGCTCCCTGGTGATGCTAACCGTGATGCCTTAAGTGGGAGGTTAGTGAAAAGGTTAAAGGTCGTCAACACCAGGGCCCTACCATGGCCCTATGGCCCCTCATTGTCTCCGTCATTCAACACTGTAGTTCCAGGGTGTTGGGGCAGCGCGGAGAGGTAAGGCTTTCAGAGTCTGAAAAGCCATAGAGAGACTGAGAAAAGATTGAGTTCTTAAAAAAGAGAGAAAAATTAAGTTCTACTTGTCAGGAAAGTACAGAGTTCTCCATGATCTGAGTTTTACTCATCAGCTTGGGAAGACAATGAGAGACTGAGTCCATCCGGAGTTGCACAGGGACCACTGACTCGCTCACCTATCTCTAGTGGGAGATGTCTAACAGTGTACCTGGAGTGTGAGTGGGATTTAAGAGTTCTCCCACTTTTAGCCGGTTCTTACTACTGGCTTTTTTATGTCTCTGTCTGTAATGCGTGAGTGAGCATATGCACGCAGTGTAAAATAAGATTGGAAGTGTGTATTGCACACCGCTGACTCTGCCACCTTTGTGGAGGAATTTGGTTAGGAGGGCTTGTGCAATGCATTGCTGAGTTGTTTTTTTATTGGTGGGACTGGGGTTTGAACTCAGGGCCTCACACTTGCAAGGCAGGTCCTCTACCATTCGAGCCACTCCAGCAGCCCACATTGCTGAGTTTTAAAATAGGATGTACTCGTGTATGGTATAATTTAAAAATAACTGGTCCAGAAAGTTCCTCTTTGGGATTCACAGTAGTGAAGAGAGTCTTTCCTGAAGCTTCGGTCCAGCGTGGGAGACGGACTTTCACCTCATAGTTCAAGCCACACTAAAGCGCCATAAGGAGGGGTAGCCAGGGCAAACTGGAGTGTTTAGTGTAACGGAGAAAAAGTCTGAGATTAAATTAGGGTGCGTCCTCATTCCAGAGGTGTCAAAACACCCATGTCTTAAAGTTACCCTCATTGGCACAGAGGAGAGTGGTTTGAAAAGGGGAGGGTACCCCAGTCCCACGAAAAGGCGGGGGGCGATTAGGTTTTAAATATATTGACATTAAGACTTTGGTGGCTTGCTCCTGTAATCCTAGCTACTTGGGAGGCAGAGATCAGGGAGATCTTGGTTCAAAGCCAGCCCAAGCAAACAGTTTGTGAGATCCTATCCAAAAATACCCAAAGCACACACAGAAAGGACTGGTGGAGTGGCTCAAATGGCAGAGCACCTGCCTAACAAGTGTGAGACCCTGAGTTCAAGTCCCAGTACCATTAAAAAAAAAAAAACAAAAAGACCCAGTGAAGGGCTGGGTATGGTGTTTCATGCTTGTAACCCCAGCATTCCGGAGGTTGAGGCCAGCCTGGGCTACCATAGTGAGACCCCATCTCAAAAAATAAACGACCCAAGGAGGTGCTGCTGAACTGCATCACTGCCTTCCCAAGTGGTCTCGTCACTTTGCTTCCCTACCAACAGCAGCAGATGGGGGTCCATAACCCCCCAAGCCCTGGCCTTTGTCGTCTAAGGTCGAACTCTCCGGGTAGGAGAGTCAGGACAAAGCCTTTTCTCATAGGGGACGAGCTGTTCGGTGACCTCTTTTCACGAGGTGCCTGTGCAAGTCCTGTGCCCATTTTCCTTTGTTGTTCTGAATTGACTTCTTGTTGATTTACAGTTTTTTTTTCTTTAATGTATTCTGAATATGAGTCCTGTGCCAGATGGAGGATAGCAAACAGTCTTTCTCACTTTGTAATTTCCCTTTTCGCTTCTTTTTGAGATAGGATTTGAAGTCAAGCCTGGCTTCAGACTGGAGACGGTCCTATCTCACCCTTCCGAGGGCTGGAGCTACAGACATGCACCACCATGTTCTGGCTTTCACTGGCATCTTTACAGTGTTATTTTCCAAAAAACATGATGAAGTCCCTTATTTAGGTCTTTTAAAACATTTCTTCCAGGGACTCTTTAGTTTTCTGTGTGGAAATAAATTTTCATTAGCGTCTCTATTATAAATAGGACCTTCCTTCCTTCCTTCTTTCCTTCCTCCATTCCTCCCTCCCTCCCTCTTTTCCTTCCTCTGCCTTCTCTACAGAAATCCAACTGGTTTTTGACAATTGACTCTGCACCCAGCAGTCTTCCAACCTCACTTAGCTGTAGCTTCTGTTGGTTTTCTGTCAACATAACACCATCGTTTACCGCAGACCTCTCGTCTTCCAGCTCTTACCCCTCTACTGCACTGGCTCGAATCCCCCGCCAGTGAAGAGCCCAAGTCCCGACTGGACTGCAGCAGCCTTGTCTTCCTCTCAGAAGAAAGCTTTCCAATGTTCCACCTTTGTGAAAAACCATCTTTTTTAGATGAAGGAAGTATTCTTCTATTCTTAGTTTTTAGGAATTTTTTTTAAAAATCACACATGGATGTTGAATTTTATTAAATAAATTTCACAAATCTACTGAGAAAATTACCAGATTTATTCTGTTAATATGGTAACTTTGGTTGATTTTTTTAAATGTTAGAATGGCTCTTTTCATTCCTGAATAAACTCATCTTGATCATTTAGCACTCAGTTCAGTTTGTTAATGTTTGAGATTTTTACATCTGTGTTCAAGAGTGAACTGGCCTGTGATTTTCATTTTTCTTCTGGTTTTGGTATTGGGACTGTGTTGGTTGGTCTCATTGCAAGAATAGAACTGGGGATATTTCTCCTTTTTTTTTTTTTTGGTGGGGTATTGTTTAAGATTAGATTTCTTTCTCTCTTTTATTGTGGAACTGAGGTTTGAACTCAGGGCATCGCACTGCTAGGCAGGAACTCTACTACTTGAGCTATCCGCCAGCCACTTTTTAAAAAGTATTTTTAGAATGGTTCTTTAAAAATTACAACTTGAGCTGGGCGCCAGTGGCTCACACCTCTAATTTAGCTGCTCAGAAGGCAGAGATCAGGAGGATTGGGGTTGGAAGCCAGCCCAGGCAAATGGTTCTCGAGACCCTATCTCAGAAAAAAAAAAAAATCACAAAAAAGTTCTGGTGGAGTGACTCAGCAGTAAGACCACCTGCCTAGCAAGCATGAAGACCTGAGTTCAAATCCCCTATCACCAAAAATAAATTACAATTTGCCTTCTGAGCATCTAATTTTTTAAAAAAGTATTAATCTTCTTCCTGGACAGTTCAAGAACCGATCTGAGGATCCATCGGTTCCGTTCATCCTCTTGTGAAATATTTAACTCTACTTCAAACCCTGTGAGACATTTGTGCCTGGTTCTAGACAGTGTTCCTTATAGATCTGTCTGCACACCAACTCATCTTGTTGCCGCTCTCTCTGTCATGCGCGTCTATTTGTCACTTGGGACTGTTCCCCTTCTGCCTAAAACACTGGTATTTCCTGGTGTGAGTCTGTTGGTGAAGGATTGTCTCAGTTTTGCCTGATGTAGTTTGACTACCATTCTTAAAGACATTTTCAGCAAATGTAGAATTTTGGGTGGTGGTTACTTTCTTCAGCACTGAAGATCTCGTCCCATTGTCTTCTGGCCTCAGTTGTTTCTGTTGAGTGAACTGTTCTCCTCTTTCTTTCTCTCCCCCACTTTCCTTCTCCCTATCGGCAGTACCGGGGCTTGAACCCAAGGCCTTGCGCTTGCTAGGCAGGTGCTCTACTTGAGCCACTCTGCCAGACCTCTTAATTACCCTGTTTGGTGTAATTTCTTGAATCCAGGACTTGGTGCCTTCTAGTCAAGGAGCAATCAAGAGACAAACTGTAGAGTAATTCACATGGGGAAATGTTAATGTAAAGAATAATGCTTAATGAAAAACAGCCAGACATGGTGGTGCACACCTG